CACACACACACACACACACACACACACACACACATACACATATGTATTCATCATGAGTGAAATATGAACCTACATTGCCATCTGCTGGCTTTAACACAAAACTGCAACTCACTTCAGATTAGTCCAGAATGGCCCAGTGGTTCCCAAAGTAAGGGTCGAGACCAAGATTTAGGTCATGGCTCATCAAGATGGTGTCCTTGGAAAAACAATTAGTCACTTTACATTAAAAATGCCTGCGCATCACATCTTTTCACCATGACTGTTACAGGGGATACAACCGAGTGTGATAATTTATTTAAAAATATTTTGATTGTTAAGACTGTTTTGTCATTGTACCTATTTAAAACATTTATAGGCAAAGTCTATAAATTAAAAACAGAGTAAAGAGCTTCTGTCACCGTATCAATATTGTGGGATGAAAGATTAAAATAAATTAGTGAAAAAAGTGTAGTTTTGCATATTAGTGAATTTGTGGATACTATTATGACCTCAGGCAAATCTATATAAATGTATATTTTTTAGTCTTGTTGTTTTTGTTGATTCTGACAAACATATTGTGTGGAACTGATAGTTAACTAATGAATTAATCAGCAAAAATTGTGACTTTTCCGTTTCCTCTGATCACATTGTGTGGAACACAAAGTCCCTGTCATGTTATAGCCTATCATTAAATAAAGTTTGTAGGCTAATGACTGTGGTTGTGCTTCACTGTATATTAAATCTTGTTCTTTTCTACATCTGTATTGATTATTCTCTCTGCAGAGATGTTTGTTTCATAAACCCGGTGTCTACTTTTGTAGAAATGGCAGCAGTGGTTACTGCTGACCTCCTGATCAATAATTCAGTCTCTCCGGCAGCGCTCATCAATAATAAATGACTGCTTCATTATTTGACGCCGGAACGTATTAGGAAGGTTAATGCGGCTCCGGATTCGTCAGACGAGCTGTCAGTCTTCCGTACGGGCAGCTAAAAGTCCCGCCCATCTGCTTGTTTCACTCGAGGCCTTGTAAAAATGGCGGTGTTGCAGGAGAAAGAAGCCGGAAGTGATATTGGCTTTCAACGTAATGATAAAACTCTGCGTAAAAAGTGGAAACTTCGCAAAAATGTATTAAAGAAACCTGTTCATTGGTCTCAGTTTACTGATTTATGTGTGAATAAAGCTGTACAAAGAATGTAACTAATAAATCAAAATAAATAAAATGAAATAAGAAGATACTTTGAGTTCTTTCAATCAGCTGGTCACTTTAATTCATCCTAAAATCCCAGTGGAAATATTACATATTTTATTCTATTATTTTGAAAACTTTAAAGTATCCCTTCACAGCACAAGATTATGGCAATATAAAAAGTTTCTTCTGACAAAAAGTGAAGGAATGACATGAGGATTTTTGCTAACACCTTTCATAATCAATACCAATTAAAGTACATCACAAATAAATTATGTTTCTATTTTTTAAATAGAAACATTTTTGTTGTAGACAAATAGAGCTGGAATACCTAATCAAAAAAGTAGGTATAGGAAACGTAATAATTTATATAGCGTGTAGTAAAAGCTTTTTATTGTGTTAAAGATGAGAACAAGTCCTTAAATTTCCGAGTAGAGAAAAAAATTGAATTTACAACAACAACAAAAACAACAACAACAACAACGATGACGATTTATTCTGAAACTGGCAAACAAAGAACTGTTAAAGGAGTTTGAAGAGGACAAATGAACACTTACCTAAATTGCAAAGAGCTTTTACTTTGAAGTGAAAAACCGGATGTTGTTGTCCTGAGACTTCCAGCTTTCACAGCGTCGGTGTTTCTGCGGGTGCTTAACGCGGTGGTTAGGAGCCGGATAGAAACCTGCAAAGGTAGGTTTTATATTTTCGGTACTACACTGAAATAACACCATTATTTACATTTAAATGTATTTAATATTTACTACCTGTTTGTCGTTCAATACAAATGATAAGTTAAATAAATTATATCCGAGCCTTTGAGATGAAACGATTCCTCTAACAGCTGTTTCTATTGTGAATAACGATGTTGTCCATAAAATCTGTTATCTGTGAATGAATGGAGGCCGCTGCTGCTTTTGTGGTTCTCATGGTCTTTATCCTGCGGTAAAAAAGGCTTTTTAATCGAGAAAAACGATCCAAAATGGTCCGAGACCGAAATTACAAACCAGGCGACATGCACATTAGGATTAACAAATAATAATATTATAACAATTAGATTCATCATTAAATTCCCAATGCCTATTTTTTCATTTAATATGCATGATAATGGGAACATTGTTAGGATCTAAACCATTACACTGAGCCATTATGGAGCTCCTGTGGAGAAGTAAAACATTTAAACAGATCTCACATATATGAWTTATCTTTTTATTCAAATTACAGTCAAACGAACAGCACTGCTCATCTAAAAGTAGTATCAAAAAGCAGAAAATATTTATCTTTTAACCTTATTTATACAACAGAGGATGAAGCTACTTTAATACATTTTAATTAACTGTATTTAAAGCTGAATCGTACAGTCAGCACTTTGTCTATTATAAGGAAATCAAAGCAAACACTAACAGGATAAAAATATTCTTTTAGTGTCTTCTTACCTGCAAAGACACATTGTGTTTTAAAAAGGGATAATTTTYATGTCTAAGTGTTCACATCTCATCTGCACATCCTGTGCTGACAGTGAACTCGCTGCCTGACCTGCAGGCAAAACTGACGTATCTGCTGTGTCACATGACAAGAAAAAAAAAAACAGTCCATCCATCCTCCATGTTGCCTGGGACAAACACTCCCCGACCCGTCAGACGCTTTAACACTGACACAACTCCTGGACCGTAAAATGCAGGATGAAGCCAAATATTTGTTGCACAAGCTGACTCAGAAATAGAGGCGAGGTTTTATTTTTTACTCCCATGTTGTCCCAAATTCACCTGCAGACTGCAGCATCAAGCAYCATCCTCCACATCCTGCCCGCTCTCTGTTTTCAGTGTAGAGGGGGAGGGAAGAGGGAGGGGGGAAAAATGGAAGAGATGCTATTTTTAGGTTCTCCTTCCTCTCATCTGCATCTCCCAAACGCTTCCTAGAAGAAGGAGGCACGTGATTGGAGGCAAAGGAGGAAAAGAAAAAGYTAACGTCTGACAACTGTGGAGCAGCTGAGTAATACTCCCGCTGTCTGTTTTCGTTAATTATTAATTGTTGCTTCACGTTTGCAGCAGGTTTGTGACAGACCGGTGAGCGATGTGTCAGGTCAACAGCTGGATACGCCGCGGAGGAACATCGGATTCAAACGAGACGAATATGACCCCTCGATTTTAGTTTTCCAGAATTGATGCAGGCGGTGCAGAGAGATGCTAAACGCCAGCAGCTTGTTGTGGGGTCAGAGGTCACCTGACAACTCTGAGACTACTCTGTCATTTTTCATCACGAGAGGGTCTCTGTCTAAACCTCTCTGGTATGAAAAGGCAGCAGGCGACATATTCCTTCAAGGAATGTTGGCCCTTTCATTCATTTTAAAGTGGTAGAAAATGGCTATGTCCTCCTCACTGCAAAAAATGAAATGTTGGATTTACTTAACCATGTTATGTTACCTGGTTCCACTTAACTGAGTTGAGTAAATTCAAAACAATATACCAGTTTTTTAGCCAAAGAACATGAGCATGTTGCTTTGAATTTACTCAACTAAGTTAAGTGGAACCAGGTAACATAACATGGTTGAGTAAATCCAACATTTCATTTTTAGAGTGCTGGTTCGGATGATGGAGACGTCTCTGTGAGTGTTTTTGAAAGAAGAAAGTGTCGAACTGATCTGGGATCAGTTGTGGATTAGCTGTGAGTCTGCAGGAAACCGGCTGATTCTGATGAAACGAGTTCGATGAGGCAGCACTTAGATCAGGATCAGTTGGGCTCCTGCAGGATGCCGGTCTGCTTTAGGGGACAGGTTTAGGAGGAGGGCTTGGTGAGGTCATCGTCCTGCTCTGAAAACACCAGGATTGAATTAGAGTGAAGGAAAAATATAAAAGATGCATTTTCTCTGATTAGGGAGAAAAAGAAATGGGTGTGTGTTGTTTCTTGGCAAAACTGATTTCTGAAGAAGTTATAACTGACTTTGATTACTGGGCAACAAACTGCAAAAAGAAAAGAAAAAGTCAAAAGGGGCAAAGATTTTGAGATTTTTCGCCTCTGAAGCTTTAATTCAACCTTTTCTGCTCGTTTTCTCCGTCTCTCATAATCCGTCCTCCCACTGACAYCACATCCAGAGGCTAATGTCAGTGTCCATTTGGCAGTTCAGGTAGCCGAGTTTAAACTCTCACATCACGTCCCCCCTGGCCATCAGTCTAGTCTCTGTGTCTTTGTTTTTTCCCTTTCAACCCACGAGAGAAGATCCCCATATCATCCTAGTCTGATGGGACATTTAATGTGAATTATTTCCTAATATTATTCTTTCTTCTGTTTTCAATATGCCGTTATAGCAGAGGTGGCCAAAATGGGGTCCGCAGGCCAAAATTGGCCCGGTAAGCCATTTGATTTGGCCCACCAGCAGTTGACCTGGCGAACTACAAGAGACATTTAGATTAGGTTTAAGCCCATATCTAGATTTGCATACCTTATAAGACCACATTTAGTCAAATTTTCAAAAGTCTCATGAGCTTACCCGAACATACGTTGAAATTTCTCCATGTCTATGGACTGAAAAAATAAATAAATAAATAAACCAAAACGAATGTGGGCCACCGCACTGGCTGCTAGCTTAATCATAAAAAAATAAAAACAACTTTAAGTATTTGCATTTTATGCATTATATTACTGCATTTGGCCCGCGGCCCTCAGATTGATTTTAATTTTGGACCTCTCGGAAAATGTTTGAGCATCCTCGCCTTATAGTGTTTAATCACAAAAATACAAACCTTAGACAAACTAAAATCAAAATTAAAGCCACACAAAGGCAGTGCAATAATCAAAATTGACATTGACAGAGAGGAGAAGGTAGAAATGACTCAGCCTGGAACTGAAAATATGGATGGAGGACAACAGAGCTGCTTCATGGAAGAAGAATCTCAGCTTAGCCTGTTAGCTTTAGCGTTAGCCACGATGCTACCACCATATAGCTCAGCGCTACACATTCTCCTCTCGTCACTGAGGTCCTCCATCCACATCACAGAGAGGGTAATGCAAAAATGACTCAGCTGCAACTG